CAAATTGATTTTAATAACCCAAGGGTTTTGAAGATCCTCCAAACTAAATCATGTATGCAAATTACACAAAGCTTTATATGGTCTTCGATAAGCACCTTGGGCCTAGTACTCTCGTCTCACTTGTCAACTGATCAAGTTGGGTTTTCAGGCTTCTATGGCTGATACTTCCTTGATCAGTAGAAACTCTAAGAATGCCATCAACAGCTGCATTATGGAAATCTTTTGTCATTTCTCTATCAAGGATCTAGGGCCTGCAAATTTCTTCCTTAGCATTGAGTTCATTTAGCACCCTCATGGGATTATTCTTAGTCAGTGTTGATATATCTCTGACTTACTTCAGCGTGCTCATATGGATTTTGCTAAACCCATCTCTTCTCCTATGGCAGTCAATACAAAACTCTCTCAATATAGTGGCCACCATCTCGGTGATCCTACTGAGTATAGGAGCATCATAGGTGCCTTACAATATGTGGCCATCACTCGTCCGGACATCTCCTTTGTAGTAAGCAAAGCATTCCAGTTTCTTTAGTCTCCAATAGACGAACATTGGACATCAGTTAAGCTGATCTTACATTATCTTAAACACATTATCATGCATGGACTAAACTTGTCTCAAGATTCTTCTTCTTCTCTCTCTCTCTTCATGCATACTCTGATACAGATTGGGCCAGTTGTCCGGATGATCGATGGTCTACAAGGGGGTTTGCCATTTATCTAGGTGAAAACATGGTTGCTTGGAGTTCCTGCAAACAAGCTACAGTTGCATGTTCTAGCACAGAGTCAGAATTTCGTCCATGTGCAACCACTGCCACCGAGGTTCTTTGGATCTCTTCTCTTCTCCAAGATCTTGGCGCCACTTCTCTTACTGCTAATCCCGTATTTCATGCTCGAACTCGGCATGTCAAGGTTGACTTCCATTTTCTACGGGATCTATTTCTTGCTCGCCAGTTATGTGTTCGGTCATTTCATCGGGTGTCCGAATTGCCAACATACTAACTAAACCTCTCACTAGTGATCGACTTCACTCCTTACGTCACAAGCTCCATGTGCTTGACGAACATGGAGCTTGGGGGCGGGTATTGGAAATACACCTCCACGTGTATTCCTTATGGCTATAGAATACTGTTGATATCTATCCTTAGGATAACAATTATCAATCATTGATGATATTCATCCTTAGGATAACTGTTATCCATCTTCAATGGGCTTCTTACTCTTGTACAATTCTTTACATTATAAATAGAATCAGGTCGATGCATTCATCATCCATCCTCAATATTCTATCAATCTGTTATTCTAACTATGGTGGATGTTTACTCTATGGCGCTCTTGTTATGAGAAGCATTTGGCACGCTCGAAATGCAAAAATTTTTGAAGCCACCCCATTGTGCAATTATTTGTAAAGCAAATAAATTATTTAATGATTGCCTACAATCCTCACAACGGAGCACTTTTTTTTTTTTCCAAAGCACAAATTATTGTTAAAGGAAAACCACTTTTTTGGAGCAACTTTCTCGGCATAGATCCGGACACCGGATTCATCCCCCTCACCATGATAAAGGCGGGATTTCGTGCAATCGCATCTGCCCCCCCACACCCCACATACTTGCTCCCTCAAAAACGTCCCACAAAATTGGAACGCGACGCGTGTCATGACACACGTATATTAAGCGAGACATGTGTGGAACCCATTTTATGTCGTGAAATGCATCTCTGTTAATTTCTCTCTTGCCCAAAAACATTTTTTCTCCCATAATTTTCTATTCTACTTCGAATTGAAATTCTTGGCATCGGCCTCTTTTCCTAACTCACTCATCGGAGATTAACCCGGTCGAGTTCCACCGGTCGACGCCGACAGCCATACCGACAGGAGGTAAGTACTCTGTAAGTTTTTCTCATTTCTTATATTTTTTTTTTGTTTTTTTCTCATTCGTTTTCTAACATTCACAGATTTGAACCCGTCGGAGTGGGAGCCTCCTAACACCGTTTCAAACCCTCGACACCCCCGGAATTCGAAAGCCCTCCAAAATTCAAAACTCTCCAGAATTTGAGTTTTGACTTGAGGCGCTTGGCCATGGCTGCTAGAAGAGCCTAGGAGGAGGAGTGGGAGTTGTGCAACAACGACGGCTTCGTTTACAAGAGAAAGAAAATAAGACAAGATTATACTGCTGCTGCTGCACCATCAGTACCATCTTCTGATCCAGTGGTGGAGCAAAGGCAGCGGAGGGAGCAAAAGAAGAGGACGCTATTGAAGCTGAGAGATCTGAGAGATCAGTTGCGATAAATGAATTTGATCATAATTCCCTTTGTAATGATTGTCATGTCTTCTCTCATGAAATATTAAAGGTTCTTTGTCAATATTCTGTCTCTCTTTATTAGTATCTACATTGTAAAACAAGACCTGGGATATTAAAGGTTCTTTGTCAATATTCGTTCTCTGACTCATTGGAGTAGAGACCTGGGATCAAATCCCACTGCCAATAGGGGTTGGGGGGTTAAGGGAAAGGGGATGGGCTACCCCCTGTTGTGTAGCCCCATGAAGCAAAAAAAAAAAAAATACATTGTAATACGATCTCTCTCTCTCTCTCTCTCGGAAGAGGTAGTTGGTTTCAGCAATGGTAAAAATTTTTAAGTCTTAGGCTTCATTTGCCTTTCCTTATTTCAAGGACTTACCTCTTTTTGGCGTTGGGGGCATTTTTAATTTTTAACCACAAAAAGGAGTCCTTAAAACAAAGAATGCCAAATGTAGCCTTAGACCTGGAAGCCATATCTGCAGAGATCATGCAACAGCAATGGAAAGCAAAGATTTAAAATAGCACTAGTGCTGATGAGAGTATATATCTACTGAGTACTTGCTACACAACACTATGACTCCTGCTACTACAGATAAATATACATTGCCTTGCTACAATAGTAGAAATGTTGCTGGTCTTTGGTTATTACCAAAATCCCTCTTCCAAACATAGCATCTACCTAAATGCATACATGAGCAATAAACAAGGTGTTTCGAAGATATCACTAGATTTATTTGGTACTATTTCTGATAACCCTCTCAAGTTGCAGAGGGTTTTAGAAAATGATTGATAGGACCAACTGCTGAAAGAACTCAGACCTATGGCATCTCTCTTTATAATCTTGCTCCCAAACTTCATCTGACATAGATTGCTCCATGCTGCATCAACACAAATTGTCAGCCACATCCTCTTACAGTCAAAGTGTTGAAACACACCAACAGTTCCTGACATGGCAGTTGTGTTTCCTTCCAAACTACTGTTTACCATTATGAATTTTAATTGCTTATGACCGGAGATATGAGATCTGCATTTGTTGCCGCTACCTCACCGTCGCCATTACCATTATTGCCACCGGTGAGTGCTGAATCCTCCTCCTCCTCTTCCTTCTTCTTCCTTTCTTCCCTCCTTTCTTTCCTTCCGTTCTCTCCATCCTTTCTTTCCTTTCTTTCTTCCTTTCTTTCTTAATTTCTTTTTTACTTTCTCCACAGTCTTTTCTCCATTCTCAAACTTTTATATGAAAAAATATTTACCCAAATAATGCAAACCGCCTCAACCATTTGACCTGGAAACCAATAACTAGTGCGGTTTTGCTTCAGTTTTTAAAACCTTGATGAAAACTAGTTTTATGATAAAGCCAAAGTCAGATAAACCAACCAGCCCGTGAATTTGGTAAGTAAAGATTTTTACATGATATTTATTAATGTCTGTACGTGTTAGATCTAATTTTGTTAAACAGTAAGTTAATTTGTTTATGATAAGAATGGGAAAGAATGGATGAAAAACGACGGAAAGAGAAAGGACTAGATGAAAAAGAAAAGTTTGTTTTATCTTTTTGGCTTCTTATATATGTTTGCTTGAAACCAATGTTTTAAAAAACGAATTGGAACTGGAACATTCTGGCCACCAGTTTTTGGGTTAACGGTTCAACCGTTTGATAAAAATGGATGGCCTATTCCGATAAAAGTATTCACAAATTTAAAGAAAAATTACAATAAAAAAAGACCAAAATTCATTAAACGGGTCAAACAGGTCAACAGTTCAATCACCAAAATCAACAGGTTATTGACCAATTCAACGGTTTTTGACCAGAAATTGAATTTGAAGTAAAATGGAATCGATTGCTTGAATAATTTCCGATCTGAAGGGGCCGACTGTCTGGGCCAACGACAGTTAAAAAACCATAAAAAATATGATAGGAAGCACATAGCGGATGTGAGATGATGGAAAGAATATAACAAAAAGCACATAGTGGATTCATTTGAAAACACAAATGGATAACCCAAACCCCATCTCTGAAAAAAAGAGAAATACGTCGGAATCCATTGCTACTCGTCGGCGAGCAGTAAAGTCTCGCCAGCGGGTTGGAATCGATGAAAATAAGAAGAATAAAATATTGAGATGGTCACACATCACCGAAGACAATCGTTTAGGGACCAGTGTTTTGAAGACAATGACACAACCTCAACAATTTTTTCTCGCATCTTTCCTTTCTCATTTCTCAGTGTGGCATCATTTCAGTGTAACCCCGTGACCCTTAAGAACTCAAGTCATACGCTTTTTTATGAGCGCAGATTTCCTATTCACTTTTCCTACCCACTCTAATCACACATCTCTCAGATGTATGGTTCTAATTCACCTTGAATAGAGAGTGGATAGGAAAAGTGAGCAGGAAAACCCGAGTGCTTTTTTATCCACAAACGTGAGACGTACGAAAGCATTTTCGGGAAAAATTCCCTGTTTCTCAGCCACGACAACCAAATGTACCATTATAAAACTCTCACCTCCCTTTCGCATGCAACACAAACACTTTCTTTGTTTTTCTCATTTACAAGCAAGATCATGGCTAGCCCTCCTTGTGTGTCCTTCCTAAAACTTGAATCCCATAATCATTTTGTGAAATCATTTGCAGTTATCTTAGTGTTTCTATTGATAAATGTTTCTTCTTTCCATTCTTATGCCTCTCCTACCACTTCTGCTACTAGTATGATGGTAGAACAAGCAAAAGCTCTCCTTGAATGGAAATCCAGTCTCTCCAACCAAGCCAAGTCTATTCTCCCTTCTTGGGGACAATCTGTTCCTAGTAACTACAATGTCACAATTTCTTCTTCTCTATTCAATCCATGCAATTGGACAGGAATTGCTTGCAACATGGATGGAAGCATCACTAAAATAAGCCTTCCAAACATGGGTTTGAAAGGTACACTACTCAACTTCAGCTTCTCTTCCTTCCTGGGTCTTTCCCATCTTAATCTCTCCAATAATAGCCTCTTTGGTACTATTCCTTCCCACATCAGTGAACTTCCCAAGCTCGCCTACCTTGATTTGTCTATGAACCAGTTTTCCGGAGGTATCCCACAAGAAATCAGCTTCCTTGAAACTCTCCAAATTTTGTATCTCCACCAAAATCACTTGAATGGTTCCATCCCAGCATCAGTGGGCAATTTGAGTAACATGACTGTTCTTTACCTGTATCAAAATCACTTTTCTGGTCCTATTCCTCCAGAAATAGGAAACTTGACAAATCTTCAAGATCTCAATTTGTGTACTAACCATCTAACAGGGTCCATTCCTTCAGCTTTGGAAAACATGACCATGCTCACCAGCTTGGATCTGTCTAAAAATTCCTTATCAGGTTCCATTCCAGCATTTCTGTGTAGCTTAAGCAACCTGACAAGACTATTCCTTAATAGAAATGAGCTATCTGGTCCCATTCCTCAACAAATAGGAAATTTGAAAAATCTTGTTAGGCTAAAACTGTCAAATAACCATCTATCAGGTTCCGTTCCTCATGAATTAGGCAATCTCACAAAGTTGGTTTCAGTACATCTGTATTTAAACAATTTGTCTGGTCATTTTCCGCCACATATATGCAAGGGTGGATTACTTCGCAGATTTATAGTACATACCAATCATTTTAGAGGACCCATTCCAGAAAGCTTGAGAAATTGCACAAGCTTGGTCAGAGTTCGACTTGAAAACAACGAATTCAGTTCAAATGTTTCAGAGGCTTTTGGCGTGTAACCAAATTTGGACTACATTGACGTAAGCCATAACAAATTGTATGGTGAGCTCTCACAAAACTGGGGAGATTGCTCAAGTTTAACAGATCTACGAATGTCTGCAAATAAGATCACTGGCAGGATACCATCTGGGTTTGGGAGGTTAACTCATTTAGGCATCCTTGACCTTTCATCAAACCATCTAGAGGGAGAGATCCCAAAAGAAATAGGAAAGAAGGTATCTCTGAACAACTTGAGTTTGGAAAATAATCAACTCTCTGGTAGGTTACCTGTGCAAATTGGAATGTTGTCCAAGCTACAACGTCTTGACCTATCAAACAACCTTTTGAGTGGTCCAGTACCTGAACAAATAGGGAACTGCGTCGAACTAATATATCTGAATCTCAAGAGAAATAGTTTCAGTGAAAATATTCCTTTCCAAATTGGTAATCTTGTTCATCTCCAAATTTTATTGGATCTTAGTGAAAACAATATCACAGGAGAAATACCTTCACAACTTGGCCACCTGACATCTTTGGAAAAACTAAATCTCTCTCACAATAAGTTGTCTGGTTTGATTCCTTCCTCATTTGATGAAATGGTTAGCTTGAGATACATTGATATATCATTCAATGAGCTAGAGGGTCCTCTTCCCAATAACAAAGCCTTTCAAAGTGCTTCAATGGAAGCTCTCAAGAACAACAAGGATTTGTGTGGAAACAAAGAAGGCTTAACTTCTTGCGTTTCTTCTCCGACGAGGAATGGAAATAAAATGGTGATTTTGATCTCAACACTACTTTCTCTTTTGGGTGCAACGTTTCTTATATACACATTATTGGAATTGCTTACCATATTAATCATAGAAAAACCAGAGACACAGAGATTGTTGGTGAAGAACAAGTTTTGAGAGATGAAGTAGTACAAGCAATGAATAAGACGGATCTGTTTCAGATATGGAATTATGATGGAAAAATACTCTATCATGAGATCATAGAGGCCACAGAGGATTTCAGTGCCAGATATTGCATTGGGATGGGAGGATCTGGAAATGTTTATAGAGCAATGTTATCTACAGGCCAAATTGTAGCTATAAAGAAATTGGAGCATGCCTCAAATGGATATGGCGACATGATTGTCCCAAAATCTTTTAGAAATGAGATTCGTGCATTAACTGAAATACGACATMGGAATATTGTCAAGCTTTATGGTTTCTGTTCACATGCGAATTGCTCATTTTTTATTTATGAATATTTGGAGAGAGGAAGCTTGGCAAAGGTACTTGGTAGTATGGAGCATGCAAAGGAGTTGGATTGGAGCAAGAGAATAAATGTGATTAGAGCTGTAGCCAATGCTTTATCATACATGCATCATGACTGCTTACCTCCAATAGTTCATCRAGACATTTCTAGCAAGAATATTTTGCTAGATTTAGAATATGAAGCTCGTGTCTCTGATTTTGGCATTGCTAAACTTCTAAAGCTCAATTCAGCCAATTGTACATCTCTTGCTGGAACGCATGGTTATATTGCTCCAGGTAATTTTCTCAAGCCAATTCTTTTTAACAAGCATGCATCTTCTTTTACTACTTGCACATAATATTTTTCATTTATGGAGGTCTGATATATCCTGTGTTTCAATAAACTGGGGTTACATCCCAAGTGAAGGAGAAAGGCATCTTTTAAGGGTTGCCTTTGCTTTTGCTTATGAGCTTTTGCTTTTGAGATTAATTTGGGCTGTTGAAAAAAATGGGCCAAAAAGTATTTTGAAAGTTTAGTATAAGAGTTGCCTTTGTGACCAAAAATGGGCCAAAATCATTAGTTCAAATGATTTCAAAAAAAAAAAAAAAGAAAAAGGGTACAGATACATATTTGTGGCCCAGGGGCTATACATTGGGTGATAGTGCTCTTCACTTAATGAACAGCTTTCTCTCTATGCAGAGCTCGCTTATACAACGAAGGTTACAGAAAAATGTGATGTATATAGTTTTGGAGTGCTAACACTAGAAGTGTTGATGGGAAGGCATCCGGGTGATTTAACATTTTCTTTGTTCTCGTCGTCGTCGTCATCTCCATCCTCAGTTGGGCAGAATATATTGGTGAAGGATGTCTTGGACAATCGCCTGCCTCCGCTCACGCCTCAAGTTGCAGATGAAGTAGTAGTTATAGTTAAACTAGCACCCAAATGCCTGCATCAAACACCACAATCACGGCCTACCATGCAACAGGTGTCTCAAGAGCTATTATCCTGCAAAGCACCTTCTCCATATCTGTTCTATAAAATTACATTGGGACAACTATTGAATGGCGAGTTATGATTGTGTATTGTATTGATATTGGCTGCTATAGATGGTATCCTCCTCCTCCTCCTCTCTCTCTCTCTCTCTCTCTCTCTGTGTTTGTATGTTAATGTGATCTCTCTCTCTGTTTGTAAGTTAATGTAATGCATGCCTCTATTCCATCAATAATCACGAGTGACCAGATTCAGTTTTCTTCTTTCATTCAGCATGAGTTATTTATTAAATGGATCCATGTTTAATATTTGTTATTTTTTAGAATTATTAATAATTAATCATAAATATTAGAAGACAAGGGATGTAGACAAATACGTCCACTGCTGACAGAAAAATTCTGTATTTGTAATTTCGTACTTGCATTGATTATATATCTTGCACTCTTCCCATACAAAGGGTAGGAGTTCGCAATTCTATTTCTCTACAAATGGTATTTTAGATCACATAATTACTTTATCCTTCATTTTTTTTCGTTTTCTTTATTATTATGCCGTACCTGTTTATATCTAGGGTTTGTTTCTCATTGCTCCACTTCATAAAACGAAATGCCGATGGCCTTGTAAGGTCTGAAAATTGATAGAGCGCTCCATTTACGGGTTGCTCCACTTACACTCACACGTCATCTCTGCGTTTGTTAAAATTTCAAATATATTCCTTGACTTCCTAACCTCTGTTTGCTCCATTAACTCGCGTATTCATCTTCAGAAAACGAAAACGAAATGGACGATGACTATTCGTCTTCCTCTTCCTCGACACTCCCCCACCGAGCCTCACATTTTTCTTCTTCACGCCTAACCTCTGTTACACCTCATCAAATGTCTTCTCGCCTTTTTCTTCCTCTCCCCTAATCTCTGTGTTACCGTGCCTTCTTCTTCTGTCTAACTCCTCATCGGTCGTTATTCTCTCCTCCGGATTTTAGCAAGGTGCCGATAGTGCGTCAATAACCTCGCCTCCGACTGTTGTCGGAGTTTTTCCCATCATTAACGTTGAAGCAACTGGATCTATAGAATCAAACAACTTAGATTCTGAGGCACTTAAATCTCTCTTGGACGTAGCTTCGAAGTTCGACGGCTCGTTGTTGAGCTGGAGGGAAAGCTTTCTGAGAGGTAGTTTATAGTTTTTCTATTGCTCTCCCTTTTTCGTTCTTTTATATTTCTTCCCTTTCTTTGTTTCTTCGAGTCTCTCTTCATTGTCCCCTCAAAACTTTGTAGAAATTCTTCTTCTTCTGTCTTTATTTTGAAAGGTACATCCTATATATACAAAGTAGGAGACTTAGTTTCACTAGGAGTTGATTTTCCAAATACATCTAGGAATACAACATGCAAGAAGGTTCCCACCGAAGGTTGCGTTTCGATAGGAAGGTTACGTGGAGATCTGGTTTCCCAATACTCCCCCTCAAATTGGCACATGTAGATTCCGGATGCCCTATTTGCCAAGGAAATATGCGAATTTCTCTTTTCCCAGAGCATTCGTCAGGATATCAGCCAACTGCTCTGTGGTTCGAACATGGCAAGTAACAATACTTCCATGCTATAGCTCATCGCGAACAAAATGACAGTCGAGCTCAATATGCTTTGTCCGCTCGTGGAACACTGGATTTGCAACTATGTGCAAATCTGTCTGATTGTCACAATACAATCACGCGGGTTCATCATGCGGCACCCCAAAGGACAAAAGAAGTTTCTTCATCCACTTCAGCTCACAACTTGTCATAGCCATTAAACGATATTCGGCTTCTGCAGAGGAGCGCAACATGGTATGTTGTTTTTTTGTTTTCTAAGAAACCAGTGACTGCCCCAGCAGAACAAAATAGCCAGTCAACGATCATCACGTCAATGGGAAGCTGGCCCAATCAGAGTCGCAATAGGCATATAGATGTAGATCGCTATCAGAATGGTACAATAGACCTTGTCCTAGATATCCTTTCATATAACGCACTACGCGCAGAGTTGCATCCCAATGTTCTTGTCGTGGACTTTGCATGAACTGAGCTAGGATATGAATACAATAACACAGCTCAGGTCATGTAATGGTCAAGTAGATCAACCATCCCACTAACCGTCGATACCGATTTGGATTCTCCATAAGAGCGCCCTTCGCCAGCGCAAGATGATGATTTTGTTCAATGGGTACGGATGTTGGTTTGGCTTCCAAGAGTCCACATTCGGAGATGATGTCTAGGGCATACTTCCGTTGCAACAAAAATATTCCCTCAGGGCCACGAGCTACTTCAATCCCTAGGAAATATTTGAGTGGGCCCAGGTCTTTCATATGGAAGCATCGATGGAAATACTTTTTGAATTTCACAATGGCAGTAGTATCATTTCCCCCAATAATCAGGTCATCAACATATATCAGCACGTGCAAACGAACATTGTGTTTGCAATAGGTGAACAAAGAGTAGTCAGGATATGTTTGAACAAACCTAAGCTGTATCAAGGCCGTTGTTAACTTTGAGAACCAACATTTGGGGGCTTGACGCAGTCCATGGAGAGATTTCTTCAGTTTGCACACTTTTGTTCGATCCTTAGATATAAATCCTGGCAGCAACTGCATGTATACTTCCTCATTCAAATCCCCATGTAAGAAAGCATTATGTACATTCATCTGATGCAACTCCCAATTCCTAGCAGCTTCCACGGCTAAGAAGGTTCGGACTGTTGTCAGTTTGGCCACAGGAGCAAAAGTCTCATTGTAATCTAATCCTTCAACCTGTCTATTCCTGAGGATAACTAGGCGTGCCTTATACCGTTCAATCGTTCCATCTGAATTATATTTGATCTTATAGACCCATTTACTCCCTATGGTCTTTTTCCCGGGAGGTAGAGATTCCAATGTCCATGTACCATTCTCTCCAGAGCCTAGATTTTCTTCCTCATAGCTTCTCTCCATTTCTCACTTTTTACTGCCTCAGAAAAACTGGTAGGCTCGGCTCCTACAGTGACTGCAGCTAAGAAAGCTTGATGTTTAGCAGAGAAGCTAGTACATGTCACATAATTTGCTATGGGATAGGGAGTCGTACTTGAGGACTTTGATTCAGAGTTGGCTTGAGTGCGAATGGGGTCTTTCAGACATCGAGCAGTGTAGGTTACATAGGGCTTTAATAAAACAGACGGCGTGCGATGTCGATGTCCCCTGCCAAGTTGCTCTTCTGGTGTTGTTTGTGGTGCTGGATCCATACTAATTCTGTCCTCACCGCCATTAGCTTCCACTTCCTGCACATCCCCTCCATTGCCTTGCTCCTCCTCTCTTCTATTAGTATTTTGAAAGCTCTCCCTATCATTTGCACAGATATCCTCTTCATCACTCCCCCTGTCTTTATTTCCTCTGTGGCTGTAATTAACATCATCATCAATTATAGCCGCAATTGCCGGGCCAGGGTTGTCTTCAAGAGGTACATCTAAATCACCGACATATGGAAATATATTTTCATGGAATACTACATCGCGGGAGACGAAATATTCACCGCTCTCAACATCATATACATGCCAACCTTTCTTCCTGTAGGGATAGCCTACAAAAACACATTTCCAACTCCTCGCTCCAAACTTATCCTTATCTCGAGGGCTCCAATGGGCATAGCAGAGACAACCAAATACTCTCATTTGCTCGTATCGAGGTGTCGTCCCAAACAGCACCTCATACAGAGTCTTCCCGTCAAGTACGAAAGAATGTGTCCTATTTATCAAGTATCTGGCGGTCAAGACACACTCTCCCCAAAAACGAATAGGCAAACCTGCTTGAAACCTCAATGCTCTCGCAACATTCAAAATATGCCTATGCCTTCTCTCCACTCGACCATTTTGTTGGGGCGTTCCAACACAAGAAGTTTGATGCAGAATGCCATGAGTCTCAAAGTACGACTTCAGGCTTTTAAACTTTGTTCCATTATCACTTCGAATAGTTCTGACTTGCTTACCAAATTGGCGTTCTGCCATGGCATAGAAATTCTCAACAATATGTGCTACTTCACTTTTTTCAAGTAACAGGTAAACCCACACAGCACGAGAATAATCATCAACAATGGTTAGAAAGTAAACGACACCACAAGAAGCAGGTACTTTATAAGCACTCCATGTATCACAATGAATTAGAGAAAAACAATCATTAGCTTTATGTTTACTTTCATGAAAAACTTCCCTAGTTTGTTTTGCTCTGTAACAAACATCACATGGCTTATCACTTTCAGGTTTACTGTTCAATTTATCTACTTTAGGAAGAGGAGATAATATCTGTTTAGACGGATGCCCTAATCTACGATGCCACAACTTCCATTCACTTATTCCACTTGTCCGATTTGCTCGAACCGGTGCTGCTCCTCTGAACTGATAGACCCCATCACACTGCTCACCCGCTCCAATCAGAGTCCTCGAGGTTTTGTCATGTATCACACACAGCTTGTCAATAAAAGTGACAGTACAATTTATCTCTTGCAATAATTTAGCTACAGAAATAAGAGTGCAGTTCATTCTTGGTACGAAAAGCACATGATGCAAACAAATATTTCCACCCAAATGCAAAGTCCCTTCCTTCACTGCGGTAGTTTGCTTCCCATTAGGAAGTTCTACCGGACACAGCGTAATATTCCGGACTTCAATCAACAAATTAATTTCTCCAGTCATATGGTGTGACGCCCCGGAATCAATTATCCAATCAGTAGAACTTTTCTTACCGGAAAGTTTTTCACCAGATTTATGTGAATTCAGAATATTGAGAAGGGTTGTCCATTGATCTCCGCTTAGCCCCGGAAACCCGCTGTGGTCATGATCATTTGTGGTTCCAACTTTCTGTCCTCCAGTCTCACTTCCCACTGCTTGGGCAGCATTTGCTCTTGCCTTGTTTCCTCGTCCTCGTCCGCCCGAACCACTTTGCCCGCGGCCTCCTCCTTTCCCGGTTGAGCGTGGTCTATCTCCCCACCATTCTGGGTATCCAATCACCTGGAAACAGTCCTTTGCTTCATGTCCGGATTTTCCACAGTGTGTACAGCTCATGCTTTTATCCTTTGTATGTGCAGCAGCTGCTTT